TCAAAACAAAGAGGGCAAGAAAGAATATTTGTTAATATTTTCATTTGAGGTTGTAAAGAGGTTATTTCAAGTTTATATTTTTGCTTGCATCTAATTAAAAGAAGCAATTGGAAAAAAACTGCAAAGTTAAATATAGTCTTGATCCATTAGATTGACAATCAATCAGCAAACTTGAGGCTTGATAACCTGAGAGAGATTTAATAAGAATCAATTAAAAAACAACTTGTTATAAAATGGCAGCTGGAAAATTTCCCCTTAATCCAAAGAAATAATAAGAAACCAATATGGAACCAAAGGTTGGAACTGCCTGGGTCCATTTGTACAGGAGAGATTAATGAATGATTTTTCTCTCTAGCAATGTAGACTTGTAATTAAGGTTGCTTTTATGAGTGTTTTTCTTTTATAAAAAACTTGAAGCCAGGGACATGATTAGGTATAGCTATAGTTACATGCAAATGAATCCTATATTTGATTAGCAGGGGCAATATGTCAACAGAGTACATTTTCAATTCTGAGACAAGATGTACAAATCATGATACAAAATGATCATGATGCAAACAAATCGTGATTTCTAAATAATGCCAAATAATTATATTTGTGTCAAAATTGCTAAGTGATATGAAATTCAGGTTTCTTTGAGAACCTTGGAAGTCTAGAGAGCTGGATTAATGTCAAGTGCTTACTGGTCTTTCATGCTGTAGAATTGACGACTTCCCAGGTTCATATTCAAAAATACTCTTGGCTCGGAACGAAATTTTCTTGTGTCCACTTTTCTGTCTGGAGGATCCCAGTCATGCCTAGAAATAAACAACAAATTCCATGTTGAAATAATTCTCCATGCTCAAAGCAGCTGCATAAAACCAATCACTATCTGTTTTCAAAGTTAATTTTACTATAGATTAAAAAGAAATTCTCAGGATTAGAAAGTTAATCTGCAAACAATACCATATTGTGTTCCATTGTATGTAGATGATTTAAAGAAAGCCATTTCTTTTATTTCTTATTATATTTTCCTCTATTTTTATCCCCTACAATGACTCTCTTCCTGTTGGCTCAAATACTCACACAGGGGGTTTGTAATCATACAGCCAGTGACCTGCTAGTAAGTAAGCCCTTGGGTCACAGATGACAGTTGTGCAGGCTTGTGTTTGGACTAAGTGGCAGATTTGCTCCCATGAGCTAAGTGAGCTTATCCAACCCTCTGTCACCAGGTATCCTTGATCCAAAGTGACAAGGAGTAATGCAAACACCGTGTTTGATCTTGTTTATCTTACAAGTGGCATCATAGTTGGCCTGCGAAAAGCACGAAAGCATCACTTCGTTTGCCATCCAACGGAACAGCTGTATGCCTCTGAGTGCCTCCTTTAAAAGCCAGACTCACACCTATCTCATTGCATAGGAGATGTTGGCATAAGCTCCTTTCTATGAATTCTTTCAAGGGGCTGTGGAGGAGGGACTGAGAAAGTAAAGCTTTTCCAGGTACCTGGGGCTAAAGAACATTTCCTTCGAGAGGATCATTTTTGAGGAAGAAGGATTTTCTAACAATAGATGAAGGCAATTTTGACTCAATGGAATGACATGATGACTCTTTGGCACATCAGAAATTACAATGCTCTAAGAGATGAGAATTAGGGGCAAGTTCTGGTTTTCTGGTAAACTGATGGATGATATTTAACAGAGGAGTTTTGAGCACTGCATGAGACAAGATCTATAAAAACCATTTGGGAATGTTAAAGGCATTATCGTATTTCTAATAAGAGATGTATTTTTACAAAATACATTGGACAAATAAGATATTTAAGTCTGAGTTAATTTTGTTTTTTATGGCAGAGATGTCACTTTGTGTCTAGACAATTATTTGGCAACTGTAAAGTATCATACTTTCTAATCATAGAATTCATCATGAGGGGATTGATATTAAAATGACACACGTGATATGTGCCTACTTCCATGGTATCTTGTATCCTCTATTGCATCAGATACTCTCAATGGAAATATGATATTTATGGGATGGGTATGATAGATATTAATAACTAGTATTAATACTGAATAATTTTATATCTTTATTAGTTGGTAGTTTAGTATGAGTTTTGGACTTACTAGCTGGATGAGTTGAGCCAGTTACTAAACCACAGCTTTCTTTCTCCCTAAAATGAGTTTAAAATAAGATATATCTCATTGGGCTATTCTCAGAATTAAAATGATAGGATACAGAAAGTACTTAGTCTAGATTTGGCCTCATTAGTGAGCTTTATAAGTAGGCTCATTAGTCATAAGCCTAATAAAAATTAGTATAAAAGTATATTTGTAATTTTTAAATTTTCATGTAAATAGGTTATATAAAAATAATTCACTGGGGGAAATGAAACATATCTCAAAAAAAGTAAGTGGTTATGAATCATAGATAGACACTACAAATACCTTATTTATGATTTATGAATAATCTTCTCTATTTTCAAAAAGACACTTTTGCATATCAGAGGGGAAATATTAATTATTAATAGATCTAACATCTAACATTTCAAATTGAAGGAATCTGAAAATTAATGACATAGTCTATGCCTTGTTATACCAAAGGGAGACCCTGTCAATTATTTTGAGTAACTTATCTTCTTCTATGAACTTATTTCTTAAAAAGTAGAGCTTGTGCCCCTGCAGCTTCAAGTCTAACTTAGATCATGACAAAATATGAACCATGAAAGTGCTTGCTCCTGTCTCAGGTGGGGAGGCCCATTTGGCTCACGTACTGACAATAAGCTTATGTAGAATCTCTCTCTGGGTAAGGGAAGCACTAATTCTTCTACTGACTGTCATGCAGACTTATTCTTATCCTAAAGGAAACAAAGGCAACTTTTGGGCAAAATGCCTTACTTTTCCGTTGAAGACCGATATCTGGGTTGAAGTGGAGGAACTGGAGGAGGAACATGTGGGGGCGGGACCGGGGAGGAGGCATCCTTAAAGACATCTGGGCCGTTGTCAGAGTGACTTTTGGACAGGGGTCTGTAGGTCTGGGTCTTCGCTGCAGGATGTGACTGAGCACTATAGGGTGAGTTGTATAGGCCTATCAAGAGGCAACATGACAAGCAAAACAGAAGGAAGGAACATTTTAAAAGCGCAATAAATAGCCAGTGGTTATACCAAAATAAGCCTATTTTTGATGCATGCAAAAGATAGTCTGTTCTTTGAAATTTATTACCATTATCAATTTACTAATCATTAATATATTATTCATTATTAATATATTCCATACACATGCATTGATTGCAGTAAATCTTCATCAATTATTTTGGAATTAGTAATAATTCAGACTGGTAGTAGGAATAAGCTTACAGGTACTCAGCATTATTCGCCTGGATAATATTAACTAATAACATAGTTATGGTTTCAGAGGAAGATTAAAAGTACTTAGCAGAACGGTTTCCAATTATGTCCTATTACTTTAATATCTCTGACTTACATTTGATTATTGACATGTAAATTGCAATCAAACAAAATATTGGGTAAGTTGTATATGTGCTATGCAAAACTAAGGAAACACACACCCTCACTAAACTTATCAGGCATCTGGGGAAATGACACAAGCAGAATTAGGATTGGAAATTATTTGCAACATATGATCAAGACCAAATGAGGAAAGCATATATTAGAAATTAAGAGATTTTGGAAGATGGTGATTGGTCAGGGAAGGTATGGAATAGATGGGGTTAGCGTGGACTGTGAAGGTTTAGTCTGGGAAAGAGAGTAGCACACACAGGTGACACAGGGAAAAGAAAGAGGCAGAAAGTGCATGACTTCAACTCCTGATGCAGGATTAGTAGAAGGGGAAAGGGCTAGTTGTAGTTACTTTGTCTACTGATTAAATGCTAAAACTCTCTAAAGGACTTTACAAGGTTATACGTAACAACTCTTCAAATTTACCGATGACTCATGGATACAAACTTCAATACTAAAAAATTATAAAATTCTGGATTGCCCACAACCCCAATCTTTTTGAATTAAATCTGTTTTCACTCATTGTTTCTCCTGAAGGTCCACACACATCACATGACAAAAAAGAGACAATGACTGCACTTCATGTCTTGCCTCAATTCTACAGACTTTGATCTTAGAGCTAAACACAGGCAGTGAGCTGGGGGTACCTACCACCAGGATTAAAAACACCTTAGTGGGCCTCCTGCTGTCATGTAGAGGAGTGAGGAAAACCAGAGGTCTTGCAACTTGCTTACTTGTTCTACTTGCTCCCTCCCCTCCCAAACATTTATTTTTTGAGAAAGGTTAAAGTATCTCTGGCAGTTCAAGGGCCTAAGTGTTGGTCTTTTGGTGTCGGGATGGAGAGAAGCTCATGCGGTTCTGAGGAGAGGCTGGCAAGGGACCCCTAAGTGAGGCTGCAGCTGCTCAAGGGAAAGCGAGCAGTCTGAGTCTGGGGGAGCCTGCTCTAAAGAAAGAAAAAACTGACGCTGGGTCACAGTTCCGAGCCTGGGGCTGGGCAGTTAGCAGCCCCGCGTGGGACCCTCTGATGTGACACATAGGAGGAAACGATAATGGAAAGTTCTTTTTAGGGGGCCCTCACTCAGCCTGCAATGCACTCAAAAACACACCGAATTGCCCAGATTGAAGTCATTCCATTATGATCATTAGCAACTGGGTCAGAAAAGAGGGACTTTAAAAACTCCAACAATGAATGGTGGTATTTTGGAGTGAAAGCATGGACAAGTCACAGAATTCATCATTTGACTTGGTTTTTTTTTTTGTGTGTGTGAAGTGTCTGAAAGATCTTATGCAACTGTAATCAGTCTATTGATTAAAGGAGACCTTTATCATATTTTGTACCCCATGACAATATGTACTTTCACAGCTGTCCTTCGCTCTGGTTAAACATTCCTGAAGTGGGGAGCAAACTAACAGTGGGAATGAAGGAGATACAAGATTGTTAGTTCTCATTTCCAAGAGAAAAGCTCAATCCTTTCGTCATGCATGCCGGGAGAAAGGAAAAAGCATCCCCCTGAAAACATGTGCTCAGAGTGACAAAAAAGTGACCGCAAAGTTCTTCCAAGCATTACAGAGCATCCAATGGTCATTGCAAGCAAGGAAACCCATCCTACCTGCATTATAGGTATAAGGAGTATTATACATGTCTGTGTCATCATCTAGAAAATGAAACATAAATATTTTGGTAACAGATTCAGTCACCATAACAAGGCACAACAAGACAGCAGAATTTGGAGAAACAACAGAAATTTGTTAGAAAACAATGTTTTTGCCCTGTTCATAGTACTGTTTTTAAATTTCCAAATGTTACTTTTTTTTCTGGACTTTGCGCTTTGCCCTCTCTTGTCTGCATCCTATTTGCTTTGTGGTTCTCTTCATAGCATATGAGGTCTGTCCCTTAGCCCTACTTCCCCAGGCAACTGTCTCTTCTGGATCATTAATTTATTTTTGTAGGTGCTTAAAAGATCTCCTTTCAACTCTGTGAGATCTACCTATGCCCACTTTTGATAAGGAGCAGTCATGTGTGGACAGAGGAATAATGGGTCTGAGTGAGCTGACAAAACGCCACACAGGGCCTCCCCGGTGGCGCAGCGGTTGAGCGCTGGGTTGCGAGCTGCCGCAGCCTCTGCGCGCCGGTCAATCCCCGGCTGCTCCCGACCGGAGGAGGGTCCACATGGCGCGCAGCCTCTGCCGCCCGCTGCTCCCTCAGAGTGTACTTCAGTCCTGCCTGCTCTGCTCCCCGCTCTGGCTCTGGTGAATTCTCTCACCCTCCCACGCTTCTGACTGTACCCAGTGCATGTATAACAAACAACAAACAAATAAAAATAAATAAAACATGCCTCTATAAAAAAAAAAAAAAACGCACGACAGATTGTCAATAGCGGAGGCCAGGGACAAGACCACGCACCTGGTGCTCCTCCAAGATCCCTCAAACAAGCTTCTCAGAACCTCAGAGGTGAGGCAGGAGTACAGGTCTGTGATTTGAGGGTAGTAAAAGGAGAAGAGGAGGAATATTGACAGGAAAGAGGGAAGGCTGTGAAGTTTGCCAAGGTCTTGACATTTTGTGTGAACAAAAACTGTATAAATGACAAGTGTACAATACATCCTTCAACCTACAAAGACTTGATTACAAAACGGAACATACTTACCAGGCTTGTGCACCATGTGAATTTGCTTAAACATTGTCTTATACCAGTCCTTCGGTCTGTCAACTGTCTATAAAAGAGAAGTTCCGATGGTTACAAAAATTGGTTCCAACATCACTCCTCTTTCTATGTTTTATCTTTTTTTAAAGATTTATTTATTTATACAAGAACTGGGGTACAGGCCAGAGGCGCAGGAGGGTGAAAGAATTCACCAGAGACAGAGCAGGGAACAGAACAGACAGATGACCGAAGACACTGCTGAGGGGAGTAGCTGAGGAGAGCAGCGGGAGACACAGGAGAGGTCTGCCGCACCATGTGTATATCTCCCTGACTGGCTGGGAATCAAACCCTGTGCTGCAGAGGCTGCAGACAGATTCACAGAGCTGCACTCAACCTGCTGCACCACCGGGGAGGCCTGTTTTATCTTTTTAAATAGTGGATTTCTGTTCTGTGATACATTTTCTGATCTCTTATTATTCCATAATGACAGTATAGGTAATTTATTCAGTTTCTATGTAGTTTATGAATATTACCCCTTATTTGAGTGAAGACTGAATTGATACGTTAAGAGTAGTGATTTCATTTTTACCAATCATACTTGTGTCTAGCACTAGTTACCTGCTATTTATGCAAACATATTTATATAAAATTCACAGAGTAAGATGAATAGTGTTGCAATAGTTAGGTTAACTCATTTAGATGCCAATTATCATTCTCCTAAAAAAAATTTTAGTGAGTGTTTTATTCAGGACATTATTTTTAGAATTAACTAGGGAATATTTTTGACTCAAACTGTATTCTGATCAGCTTAGACTTAGGGAAATAGAAATTTGATATTTACTAGTCTATATGAGAATACTGGATGTAGTAGACAATCCAGAGTCTTAGAGGATATCAAAATATGGATATTGTTTAAAAATTTAGCATAATAAAATATGTAACATTTGCTTTGCCAAATTGTAAGTTTCTTGAGAGCATAAGTTCCTTGTTTATGTTGCTGAGGCTTTTGACATGATCGAAATAGTGGGTTTAGTGGAAAGTTTAAATTAATGTCATATCAACCCAGGCTCAAATCTTCTTTGTTCCTTTAACTGCTGTTTAATAATTCCTACCAATAAGAATTTGGGAAGGTTACAGGTAACCTTTTAGAACTGCAGTTTCCTCCTCTTTAAAATGAAATAATGATATCTATATTATAGATATTATGGAAATAGATTTGAGGCAATATATACAGAAAGGCTGAAAACTGAGCAGAATATAAACATTTCCCAATAAATAATAATAGCATGGAATGACAAGTATTTATAGAATGATTAAATTTGGGTTTATTTGGATAGAACCCCATCTTATTGTATATCTGTAAAACACTATTGTATACTTGTGAATGTAGACATACACTTTTATAATAATAACTAAAGATTTTGCTGGGCAAGATCTTTACCTCAACATTTCCAAGCTACTCAGGCAAGAAATTTGACCATTCTGTGCACAGTAACTAAATATACCAGATTTTCTGAGGCAGTTCTCTTGAGATAAAATATAAAAAATATTAGGACTGCCACAAAAATAGTATTGAGCTTGTGAGACTGCACTTTGGTTTAAATTCACATCCTAACCTTTCTCTCAGAAATATGGTCCTTGCATGTTTCATTTGGAATTTGTTTTGTGCTATATCTAAATTTACTTTGATTTCTAAGAATATATGATTGTGGTAATCATGACAGATATAGACTAACCATTAAGGGTTACTTGACTGTTGCAAATCATCTCTTCATTCTTTCTAGGCTCTTTGTTCAATGAAAAAATTGAGGGGCTTGCTAATTTGCATTATATTTAAACAGTGGGAGCTGGTGGGAACCGGGCCACAATGAAGGAGCAGAGCTATTATTTATTGGTGCAGCAAAGTAGTTGGATGTGGATCTTTAGGACACATTTGTTTTCATAAATGACTGATTTCTCTTTTTTAGTCTTATTTTCTTTACAGCATTCAGCAGGAGAAAATAAGATGTCACTTTATGCAAAAATGTTTTTCAACCATACCTTGATACAACCAATGACAACAAGGAAGCCGAATAAGTTACTTATATCACTGTATATGGCAATGTAACTTGACAGACAGGGTTTCTTTTCTTCACTTGCTGGAGGGCATATATTGGGCGGATTTCAGTTGAGCCATCTGCTAGCTTTATATGGTGAGCCCAGAGATGCAGAAATGCCCCGTTGGTTGGCAAAGGGGAATATGAAACTGGTAAGAGAGAATACTAAAACTCTCAGTCCCTTTCTAAAAGAAGTACGCTCAGCATTTAATGTTCCCTTTATAAATGTCATCAAGGAGATTGTTATGGCTAATACTGAGATTAAGTAAATCAAAGGCTACTCAAATGTGAGGAAATTTGCTTTTATACACATTCTTCAAAATAAACTTGCACGGACAGTAACTACCAGCTATTGCTTAGCTATTTTCTATAACCTTGATGAAAGGCACCTGAATTTTTCACCTTCCTACAATTTACAAAACACCAGAGCTCTGTTGATTTAACATGCAGAGGTCCCCCAAAGGAAAAGATTCATAATCTCTATGCACCAGTTCTTTGTTCTTGTCGATTTGCAACTTCAGAAATCCTCAATGGTGTCATGTTTGAACTGGGAGAAAAGAATCTTGTATTTCACTTAACTAGCTGGCCCTAATTACACAATTTCATGGGATGGGAACCCTAGCGATGATTGTCATTGTGGTTAAGAGTGGTAGTGAGCTCCCTTCAGCAGTGTATTTCAGTAGATCTGCCTGTCCTGTGCCCCACTCTGTCTCTGGTGAATCCTCTCCCCCCCTGCACCTCTGGCCTACACCCCAGTTCTTGTACACATAAATAAGTAAAAATCTTTTTTTTATTAGAATAGAATGTCAACGAAAGGATAATACAGACATCCCAGGTCACATGAGAGATAGCAGACAGTGGAACAGCTGCTGTTCCTTCAGATAACTCAAAGGAACATTTTTTGACTCTTGGCTTTCTAGAGTTTCCAGGCTACTTTACAAAATTCTGCTTCCTTCGCATAAGCTGCTTGTCTAAAATGGTACTGCAGCACGGGACGTGGAGGTGGTGCTGCCTTTGGAGGATACACTGAGCAGAAGCCGGGTGGAGCAATTTGAATCCAATCATCTTTATTTTCCAGACAAATGAGGAAGAAAAATAACCTTGGAAACTCTTGGCCTGCTGCGACTCAGAGACAGCCTGACTCAACATTTATAAACACAACTATACTTGGGGATGTGCTCTGCAAGGCTGAAAAATAGGAGATGGAGTAAGAGAGGAGTCTTTCCAGACCTTTGCAGAGTTCACCTTCTTTGTAAAGTTTTAAAAGTCTAAATAAGAGTATGGTTGTGCATAAAAATGATGGTTCCTTTTAAGGAACTTCTGGGTTGCTTATATTTTATAGAAGGGAAACTGATATTGAATATTTAATATATGTGTTTGATAGGCATATCTTAATATGTTTTTTATTTGGAAGTAAACAACGTAAACATTTTAATATTACTTTATCTTTAACCACACATATTTCAGTTTTCTTCTTTGAAAAACTAACCAGCAAGGTCATCGATAATCAAGAAAAATGTTGTCTTATAGATTTAAAAAATGAACCAGCTTTATTTGTTCATTTTTTATAGATCATTTATTGACTTAAAATCCCACCCAGAGGTCTCAGATAATTTCAGACATAATCTGTACATAAAAGCAGGGTTTTTCTGATTTGCAAATGTACATGCCTCAAAAGCTCAGTTAAA